GTTGGTGGGGATGAGATATGAAGAAAAACTGAGATAGATATAAAGTTGTTAAGAGTGTGATAAAGATGTTGGTGGAGAAGACTGCTGTGCAGATAGGAAGAGCATGGCAAATACAAAAGGCATGGGCTTCAAGAAAAGAAAAGGAGGTTACCAATGGTGCTGAACAGTGGTCTCTCCTCTGCCCCCTGCCCCTTGAGATTGGAGAGAAGGAAGAACAGCCTTCACCAAAGAGAAAAGGAGCAACATTAGGGTAAATCCAGGTTTCACAGTGCCAGAGGAAGACTCTTTCAAAAATGAGACAGAATTTGAATATATGAGGAGCTCCACAGCATACTGTGAAATGGATTGGTAGAAGTGTCGTGTGGGGTAAGGAGTCTAATCCATGGAAGTTAGATCCCAGTGAGAGTTCAGGAGAAGAAGAAAAAGGCTGGAGGGTTTTGCTTCTGGAAACAGGAGGTTGCTGCTTCTGGAATTTAGAATGGAAGGTACATAGCATTTATTATGATGGAAAAAAAACATAAATACCCCAAAGGAGGTGTTAGGGGGATGCACAAGACAAAGCATGTCTTCTAGTTCCACGGCTTCAAATGCCCATCTTCATGCTGATGACTCCCAATGTTGTCTCTCTAGCTCTGACCTTGCCTCTGAAAGCCAGACTCCTATCCAATTGCCAAGTGTCATCTCCACTTGGATGTCTGCCCAATGGATTTAGACTTAACATATTCAAAACTGAACTTTTGGTTCTCCCACCTCATCGGAATCCATGTCCCTCCCAGTTTCCCTATCATCCAATCCCCCCAAAAACCCATCCAATCTATCATCGAGTCCTGGCAATTCTACCCCTGAAATATATCCCATATTTGTCTACTTCTCTCCAATTTCCTGGCTGCCACCATCTTCTCTCCTATTGCTGCCATTGCCTCCTAATTGATGCCCCTGCTTTCATTCTTTCCTCCTACAATCCAGTCTAGATAAAATCTTTTTTTTTTTAAGATTTTATTTATTTATTCGACAGAGAGAGAGACAGCGAGAGAGGGAACACAAGCAGGGGGAGTGGGAGAGGGAGAAGCAGGCTCCCCGCGGAGCAGGAAGCCCGATGCGGGGCTCAATCCCAGGACCCTGGGATCATGACCTGAGCCCAAGGCAGATGCTTAACGACTGTGCCACCCCGGCGCCTCTAGACCATCTGTACTCTTAACGACTGTGTTATCCTATGTGGTATGTTATAGAATTATACAATGATGCGCCCATGTTCAAAGCACCCATGCTGTCACGTATATTTTGAGAATCAACTGACACAATATGTAATTAGAGCACCTGGCATGTGATTAGCACACAGTAGATGTTGGCCAGTAGTGTTTCTGTTATCAACAGATCCATACTTCCTTACCCTCAGCTCTGCAACTCAAAAATACTAAGAGTCAAACATTTTTCACCAGACTTGTTTGGTGAGAAAACCTAACCTGAACTAAAGCGAGACTATCTGTGAGTTGTTTTTATCCTACTGATGTCAATGTTCGTACATTTCTCTGCAGAACCATTCATGTGTTTGGTCACTGGAGCTGCCAGCTGGCCCTCCCCAGGCCACTTAACATACCGTGTATGTACTTTCAGATCAGCCCTACCAAATCCCAAAAACATCTGAGTTCTGAAAAACCTTTGACACTGAAGGTTTCAGATGGGGACCTATGGACAGTGGAAGCAGCTCTGTAGAGAGAATAGCCCTCAGGAAAATAAAACCCTCTAGCGATTCTCCCCTGCTAGAGATTTTCCTTCTAGAGTAAGAACATTAGAGGAAAATCCCTGGGTTGGGTTGAACAACCTTAGCTCAGTTTGACTGCTGCTATCACCATCTTCCAGCTCCCCAACAGAAACCCCTCTCATCCCAAAAACTTCCCCCATATAGGAGAAAAAAATCCCCTTTTCTTTAATTCCTCTTAATATAGTGAGATAGGCTGGCATATTCAGATTTAAAAAAAAAAATTTAAAAAGAGGAGGTTTGCAAAATGTAGGCATCTAGTTTGACAGCTGACATTACACATGGCAAGAGAACAGAGAACCCTGTGGCAGATCTCAGACCTCCTCCAAGTTCAAATTCTACCACCTACAGGCTGTGTACCAGGGACATGCAACTTAACTTCCATGAGCCTAATTTGCCTCTCTTTTTTTAATTACTATTTTTTATTTTTTAACTCGCCTCTCTAAAATGGAAGTTGTGACAAGTAAATGAGGCAAGCACTTGGTATAGGTTTGGCACCCACCAGATGAAAAGTATTGTTATTTTTATTCTTATATTACCCAATTACGGCTTTTTGAGTAATAAAAATCTCTCGCATAGGACCTTCTTTTATTATATTGACATCTAAGAAGCACATGAGATCGATACTGTTATCCTATTACAGATGAGGAAATTAGGGTCCAGAAGGTTCAGGAACTTCCTGAAATCTCCTAGCCAACAGGTTGTTGTCTTCCTAAGAGGGACCTGCCCTCGGGTCCCTCCCAAGCCCTGGTATACATCCTCTCAGGCCTTACTTCCTCCTGTTCCCCTGACAGCCCTGCCACCAGGTGGCCGTCTGGCTCTTCTGTAGAATGGCCCATCTCATTCAGCTTCTAGCTGCTTTAGAGACCATTAGGTCTTAAAATGCAAATATGTTCTTTGAACAGATGAAGTGACCCAGGATCCCCTAAGGAAGGGGAGGTGTTCCCCTATTCCCAAGTTAGGTGCGAGGGGTGAGACAGTTCATGCTGGATTGACTGGGCTATGTGGTCACAACCAATGAGATGCCAGTGAATGGCTTTTGATAACTTCCTTTTGGGACCCATCCCCTCATGGGGAAGTGGTCTTAGCTGTCAAAGGTGTGTCATGAACATACCTTAGTCAGACGATAACCATTCTCTACACACTACAAGAATTAGTGAACACCAAGAAACAGCAGGTCATTTTCTCACAGTCTTTACAAAAAGAAGAAAGTCCAAAGCCAGCCCGGTATTTTTTTTGTTTTCTTATGTAACATTCACTGCACTTCTGCTTATTGCCAGCACAGTGTCAGACATCTGCCATCCACCGCTCACTTACACTGCAGAGCAGGAGTAAGCTGTGGCCCTGTTTGGCACATAGCTGCGCTGTCTGATTTACGTTCCATTTGCCTTTCCAGCCTTTCCTACCGTGGCACAACCACAGACCTGCAGCTCCAGCTATGTAGCTCTGTCTTCAGTGACCCCAAACATGTTTTTCACAAGACTGCCTCTACCTGTTGCCTTCCCATCCACCTGATTTTCACTTTGCTAAGTTATCCTCCCTTCCCAGCCCAACATAAGCCCACCTCCTCCTTGAAGCCCTCTCTGACCCCCCTCCCGCTTTACCTTTTCTTCCTCTGTGCCTCAGTTAATCATCACTCAATATAAGTTTCCAATATTGGTGTTCTTAAAAAATGTGTTGTGCCAGTTAGTGTGAACATCCCTTTAAGGTAGAAATCACGTCTCATTATGGAGAAGGGAAGAACAGTGCTTCTGTCACTAAGAAAAGTACATGTTTACTTCAAGTTTTTTTTTTTTTAAAGATTTTATTTATTTATTTGACAGAGAGAGACACAGCGAGAGAGGGAACACAAGCAGGGGGAGTGGGAGAGGGAGAAGCAGGCT